AGGCTATTGTTGGTGCTGATCACATCAAAAAAAAAAAAAATCATTGGTTACAGTAAACAAGCTTATTAGAAATGAGTGCAAAAGGCCTAACCTTAACCTAAACTACAACATCTCCAAGGTGACATCTGAGGACCGACACAGCTACTAATGTAGTGATGAGACCTACAGACACATGCTCAGCTATACCCTCACATATGTAAATAGACTGGCTTCCTGTGTAGAAGAGGAGGGGGAGAAAGAGGGTTTGTGAAACCTCTCTCTCTCACACACACACACACACACACACACACACACACACACACACACACACACACACAAAGAGATCAGAAAGGCATCACAATGAAAATGTGGCTCATTATTATACACAGTAGACCGCAGGCTCTGTGTCTCCTGCATCTGGGGTTTAGGGAGCAGCAGCCGCAGCCCTCAGCCCCTCACACTTGATAACATGAGCTGACCAAGCAGCCGCAGACACAAGCGCCACACTCACTTTATGCAGAGATTCGGGAGGTAGCTGAGACGCCTTGAACAGCTCTGCCACTTTACTGGACGACAGTTTTCCTGAAGTGTCAGCCTGGCACAGACCGTGGAGACCTGAGTAATACCTCTGCTCATGCTCATTCAGGGAGATGAAACTCCCCGCAGACGCCGCACCGGATTCCTGATCCATTCCCGGGGCTGACGCATGGAGGATCCGCCGGAGACGCACTACAAACAAACAGATCAATACATCCTGCTCCGGACTCCGGCTCCTGTTTCAGGTCGGAAAAGAAGGAGGGTTTAGTATCACCTCCTACAGGAGAGTTCCCTGTGAAGACAGCCCGCCTGCTCACCCTCAGGCTCGTCCACTCCTACTGCCTATTGTGAGTGATTGTAGCACTACCGCCGTGCGCCTGCTGGGGGCGACAGAGCCCAGGACAAGCTGAAAGAAGACCCTACGTTCCAATCCATAATTGAATAAAGCTTATTTTATTACAGGACCTTGTAGAAATTCTTATCCTGTATCACAATACAGATGCGGTGTAATATGATACAGCATAATGAAGCCAACAATTAATCTGTTGTGCTCTGAGGGAACATAGGGAAGCACTTTGAATATCACTCATATTTCCTGCTAAATTAGAATAGGCTTCTATAAATAGTCTGAATTTGGTTTCATCATGAGATAAACAGTTCAGACACTTTAGGCCAACATCCAAAACTAAAATTTTATACAATAAAGGAACTAGAAAGAGCAAAACAACCAGCAAATTTAGCAAACAAACAATGCAACTTACTTTAATGTCACTTTTACTCATGGAGGCTAATATTAGCACCTTAAAAATACTGCTAACGTCCTGACATTAAAGTAACACTTGTATTAAAAATGACCTTTTGACACAGAAATGGGGCCATTATTAATCAGTAAACATGCACAGAAAAAATACTGGACTCAGAAATGCCACATGATCCTGTTACAGCTTTAAGCAAACCTTCAAACCTGCATGATGCTGTGCAAAAGTCTCAAGCCACTATTTATTTATCCACTGGTAGGAAAATGGAAAACGATTCAATGAAAAATGTCCAAACATAAACTGAAATACAGTATATTAGATGAATCAGAGTCTGTGAGAGTCTAACAAGCTTGAAAATGATAGTGATTCATTGTATATTTTTCTACCCAAGTATGTTTTTATTTCATTGGCAGTGTTTTTGGGATCATTATCATGAAAAATGAAGCCACTGCTGATGAGACTCTTTCTGTATAGCGGTCAAGAATATATAGTATTCTGTCCTTCCACTGAGCCCATTTCTGATGAGCCTTTGGTGAGCAGTAGATGGATCATCTGCAGGTCCTGCGTCAGGTTTTTGCTTGATGTTTTTATCCTGTTTCTTAACAGGGTGACTTTCAGATGCTGTTTATTTGTCGTAGATGTGTTTTAGAGCTATCAGCCAACAGTTTTTAGGCTGACAGCTTTGGGAGAGCACCTTGTTGGTGCAAAAATACTATTTTATGCCTGTCAAACTGTGTTATGTTTGCATATTTTGTACACACAGCCATTAATAGACAATAGTTTTTCTTTTTTTTTCCCCCAAGAAAAAATTAAAAAAATATTTTTGAAAGTCTTCAATCTGAATATCACCAGAGTCTCAGATGAAATAAAATATTTTGGATTTTGCAGATCCAGCAGTAATCTGCCCACTGAGATGATTAACCTTGATTGCCCTTTAAAGAAGCACACAAAATCTAAAAGCCTTGAAAAATGCTTTTTACACTACGAGTTTTACTTTCGGATGCATTTCATGCAGTGTTTTTGTTCACGTTTTTTGTTTTAGTTTCACAATGATTGGGTTAAAAACTGGAATGGCTGTCATGTCTGGGCCTCTGCTGCCACCGTGTGTAGAGAGAAAATACCTGCACCCTGAAAAGTAATTAAGCGCTTAGCAGGAAGTGAACTGTGATCAAACTAAAATTAATTCAAAATTTAGATAATACACACCAAAAAGGTGAAAACGAAAAGGCATTTAGTGCATTTAACCCCCTCCCCCCCAAAAAAACAACTTAAAGTTATTTGAGCTTTGTGATGTTTTTTTGACATGTCTAAACAATGTTCCAATAAAAGGTCTGAAGAGTGCCAAGAAAATGTCCCTCTCATCATTACACCATCACCACCAGCCTGAACCTCTGATACAAGGAAGGACGCATCCAGCCTTTCACGCTGTTGACACCAATTTCTGACCCCACCATTTAATTGTGACAGCAGAATTTGAGACTCATCGGATAGATATTATCTATTTTTCTGCAAACCCCAGAGATGGCAATGTGGGAAACTCGGACCAGCCCATCATGTGCCAAACTCACTTAAACTGCCTGTCTTCCCCATTCTGCTGCTCGGTTTGAGGTTTAGCTGGTCATCTTGACCATGTTTAAATGCCCAAATGCACTGAGTTGCTCCCATTTGATTGGCTGATTTGTCAAGGAAGGAGGAAGGAAGAGGAAAGACCAGTTATTCTTACTGTAACCCAGTGGCTCAACCCTCAGTGATGCGTCATCGTGGTCTGTTTTATTGGAAAACACTTATGACATTTTATGGGTACAAAAGATCGTTTATTGTAGGAGAGTTTCATGTGGTCTGCTGTGGTGTTTTAATCACTGAAACAGTCTGTTATCGGGGAAAGGAGACTTTACATTCAAACTTGACCCATGTGAACTTAATTTCCAATAAATGGCGGTTTCAAACATACTTTTCTGAGACAGAGGTTAAAAAATTAACCTAACAGCCAATGAGGAAGAATGGATCATTAACCTTATATAAGTGCCAGCTTAGATATTGATTGACTGAATAACTGAAAGTGTTTGCAAAGGCTTTTTCAGTAAAGAGGATGAGAATGAGCTCACTGGGATCTGTTGTGGGAGATTTTAATTCTGCATCACATAGCAAAGCTAGGTTAGACCTGATAACCATGTAGGGAGGAACAGGGAGTGTGGAGAGGACAGTTTGTCCTGCTTGACTCTGACCGAGCAGGACTGGGTCAGAAAGGACAGAGAGTGCTGGGCTGATTTCACCTGTATCCCAAATCAGACTTTTGGGCTTAACCCTCACGCAACCAAAATATTTTAGTGACTAAAATAATCAAGTGACTTCGCTTCGTTTCATACAGAAGTACTGTTTTGTGTATCATACTTGTACTCTTTCCTTTATCTGTGATATTTATTCTGATAACATGATTTTCAAGGGGTTTGAATCCACCGTCCGGTGTGTGTGTAGTCTCCATATGCTGTCCATGTCTGGGTGGGTTCTCTCCAGTTACTCAGAGATCCTCCCACAGTCCAAAACATGCAGTTACAGTATGGGATTAGCTTCACCGCTAATTCTGAATTGGCCATAAGTGTGAATGTGAATGTAAATGGTTTTCTGCACCCCGCCTCTCACCCTGTGGCAGCTGGGATATGCTCCATGTTTTCAAGTTAACTAGTAAACCCAAGTCATCTCCTTCAGCTGAGCTGTTTGCATCCTCATTTTGTGCATCAAGTATCCTCAAGGCTTCTCCTGCAGTCAATCTTGCTACCTCATTTCATGATCTAGTGTAAACATATGGCTGGGTCGCCAGCGGGTTAAATGAACTGCACCTGAAATGGACCTGTTCTGCTTATCCTTATTTTCTGTCATTTGTATAGCCTCTTAGAATGCTCATATTAAACTTCGTGAAAGTCTGAAATAATGAGATTGTTGTTTTTCATATCCTTGATTTGTCTTAGGTGATAAAGACCCTTCTTGTTTGAATCCTGTCAAGTTCCAGAAGGGCTGGCACATATGAGAAATCTGACTCTGGAGTACTGCCCTCTCTCTTTTGACTTTTATTTCTATGGCACATGCACTCTGATACCAGCAGTGATCATGTTTACCACCACTTACCAACAGCAGCACTGCTTTAGAACAGAAACCATCGAGCCTTTGCAAAGATCACGGCTCCTCGAGATAGTTTAATACCTGTGGCTGGGTGAGGGGATTTTGTAAATGCTGTGCAAGGATTTATAAGTGGGGCTCAGGGTTCCAGGCTTAAACAACAACAACAACAACAACAACTGTACTACAACTACACCCTGTGGGTCGCACTATTTGCTCTTCTTCTAAATTCCTCTGTTAGTTTCACCTTTAATGTTTTAATGTTGTTTTCTTTTAAAATGAAAGGTAACAGTTTACATATCATATCATATCATATCATATCATATCATATCATATCATATCATATCATATCATATCATGTCATATCGTATATGTAAAAATAAAAATATGAACCTGGAAAAAATGATAACAGATCCACTTCTATTAAGTAGTAGATGCTATATTCTTTCCCAGGCTGTTTCTGTTTCTAGGGGTCACTACTTATTATACCATTTTAAGTGGCTGTAACTTGGAAGTTCACACACTGTGCTATACTAGGTAAATAGAAACAGACTGGGCCGTTCTGTTCTCCTCTGGGAGGTCTGCCTCTATCACATTAGACCTATCTGGCTCCTTTGGAAAGCATGAACAAACAGCGCCCACTTGACTGTTTCCATGCAGTGCAGCGCAGTGACAGCCATTGTTTTTTACAGAGAGGACAGATTAGTTCAGGTGTGTCTTGGCTTAACCATTAAACCCAGGCTTTATCCAGTTAAATCCTCTGCCGACCTCTTTAGATCGGTGAATGCTGGGACCTTTGCCTGAGCTTTTACAGCATTGTGTTATTCTGCTTTTTGTTTTCTGGGAAAAATGTTGGAAAAGATCTTGCTCCTGCTCAGTTTGTCACTTTCTGTGGCGGAAGGGCTCTGTAAACCAGGTAAGGCTCTTAAAATGTAATCTTTGGTCAAATATTGTGTGTTCACATTTTTTAAAAAAATACATAAATTCATTAATATGAGTAAACACAGGCTTTGTGTACAGGAGTTTTATCCCTTCTTAGCCCAAAAGTGAGTGTGGAATGCAGCTTCTAATCTATTTACTGGAACAAAGTCAGATTAGACACATAACTTAGCATTTACCTCACAACAAGGGTTTCATTCATTCCATCGTGATTGTAGACTTGAACAATGATCCTAAAATTGCTAATCTACAACCAAACTATGAGGAAATAGCTGAGAGAGACTAAATTTGGTGCTGCTGCTCTTGGGATTCAGTCTATCAGCACAGGAAAGATAAACTGCAGCAGCTACACTTCTCATCTAAAGCCTAGCACAGCAACTCATGGCACGCAGAGGACATTTCAGTCTGTTTTATCTTTATAGGTGTTGGAGAAGCCTACAAAGTTCGATTCAGCATCAAAACCGCACTGGGAGATCAAGCTGTATGTATATATTTAAATATTCCTCCACATCCTCAGATTGCTCTTCTTGCCATAAACAGCTCTGACTTCATAATATTAAAAACAGGAATGCAATCCCATTCCCTAAAAAATTTGAATGTTTTGTGAATTATAAATAAAGAAAGTAATGATTTCCAACCTATATTTACAAAGAAAATGTGGTGGAACTGAGAAATGTGATCATTCATGTCCAGCATTACAATCAGTTGAAGTTCCGGGTGCAACAATAGACCAGAAAGTTGTGTAATGCTAAAAAAAAACAAAAAAAACAAGCAATACACCCCCAAACACCTGCTTTGGACACATCTTAGTAATTAGATAAACAGGATTACATATAAAAAAACCATGCTAGGCAGGGTAAGTCTTTCGACACAGGGAGAATTTCAATACTCTGGCACAGATTTGTGGAACAAAGAGGAAACGGAGAGAATTTTAATCTTCTACAGTACACTGATCAGAGATAATATCATTAATGTTTCAGAGAATCCAGCAAAATCTCTGTACGCAAGAGAAAAGGCCTGCAAATCACTGCTGAATGGCTGTCATGCCCTCAGAGAACACTTTAATATAAATCAGACATGAATCTGGAGTGAACATCACCGCATGGGCTCAGGAATACTTTTGAAAGTTCAAAGTGTACCATGCAAATAAAAAATGCATGCAGAAACAAGATCCAGAGATGCTGCCGTCTCCGTTTATGCAGCTCATTCAAAAGAGATTGAGACAAAGAGGAAAAACCTCTTGAACAGCTTTCCTCTTTAAGATCTGTGATGGCACTGAATGCTTTTGTGAAGATACCATGGGCAACTTGCAAATCTTTAAAGGCACCGTTGAAACTCAATGATGCACTCACTAGCCACTTTATTAGGACCTGCTTCTATCTGCCTTAATCCTTTATCTCAACAAAGCGATGAAAACATTTCTTCAGAGTTTTATGCAGCGACTGCAAATTTTGTACGCACATCCATTATGTGAATCTCCCTTTGCACATTCCAAAGATGTCTGTTGGGCTGAGATCTGGTGACTGTGGAGGTTATTTGAGTACAGTGAACTCACTGTCATGCTCGAGGAACCAGTTCGAGATGATCTGAACTTTGCGGCTGGGTTGTTATTGTGTTGAAAGCAGCCATTAGAAGATGGGTACACTGTGGTCATAAAGGGATAGATGCTGTCAGCAACAATGCTCAAGCAGGATGTGGCCTTTAAATTTAGCACTAAAAGCACCAGAGTGTGCCAAAAAAATACCCCCCACTCTATTACAACACCAGGAGCATCCTGAACTGTTGATACACAGCATCCATGTGTTCATATCATTTAGACCAGGGGTGTCCAACTCCAAGCCTTGAGGGCCGGTGTCCTGCAGGTTTCAGATATCACCCTGGGTCAACACACCTGAATCAAATGATTAGTTCATTACCAGGCCTCTGGAGAACTTCAAGACATGTTAAGGGGGTAATTTAGCCATTTAAATCAACTGTGTTGGATCAAGGACACGTCTAAAACCTGCAGGACACCGGCCCTCAAGGCCTGGAGTTGGACACCCCTGATTTAGACCAAATTCTGACCTTATTAATGCTCATCTTTCTAATCTTCTATTGTCCAGTTTCCTGCTCTTAGCTGACAGGAGTGCTTCCCGGTGTGGTCTTCTGCTTTCTGCTTCAAGATTTGGTGTGCTATGCGTCGAGAGATCATGTTCTGTGTGGTTGTAACTAGCAGTTATGAGTTGCTTTTGCCTTCTTGTTAACTCAAAGCAGTCTGGCCATTGTTCTGGCCCCTTGCATCAACAAGGCATTTTCACATAGAGAACTGCTGCTTACCGGATATTTTCTCTCTGTTTTCTGGACTGTTTTTTTTGTTACAGATGGTTGTGTGCGAACATCTAAGCAAATCAGAAATTCCTGAAATACTCAGAACCCGGACGCATGGCATTAATAAAAGCCACTGACATGCATGCTTGCGTGTGGTTGGACAATTAGATATGTATGCTGATGAGCAGTTAAACAGATGTACCTAATAAGGTGGTCACGATTGCATACGTAGATTTTAAAATTGAAAGTCTTGCTTATTTCAGCAAGAACACATCGCACATTCGTTGGGTACTGCAGCAGATAAAATCGAGAATCGAGAGATTAAACGTCTGTTCAGACCTGTTAGGCATTATAACTGTTCTGCACATTATGAAGGAACAAATATGACAGAGGAGGCCTCAAATATCAGCAGGGACACAGCAGCAGTAATTGTTTGGAAATTTCCAAATACTTACAGAGGGAGTAGAAATGCTACTTTTCCAATTTAAATGCAACTTGCTGATGGTATGAAGTTTAAGACACACACACACACACACCACACACTCACAAACACACACACACACACACACACACAACACACACACACACACACACACACACACACACACACACACACACACACACACCAATATTAACTAATTTCGAAATCATTAACTTCTGCTTTTATTAATATTTTACACGCCATCATTTTAGAGTCATGGTTACAATCAAGTGCTTAATATTATCCAGAATTCTCTTAAAGTGCATGTGACTGCTTAATATGAGGCCAAGGTCCATGTGGCAAACAGTTAACCTTTGCTGAAAAACAGTCCCTAATCTGATGTTGCTGATTTTGCAGTATCCCTGGAACAAAAATGAAATGTTCCTTTTCCGGGCCGCTCTGGCTTTTGCCATGAGGGATTTCACTAACGGAGAAGAATTTGGGTAAGACTGTTTTTGTGTCATCTGTTCTTAAACAGTTGTAAAAACATAATAGAACATCTCTTAACACGATAGGTGACTCACATTTTATAACTTCGCTTTCATTGTCTTGTAAAACTTCACCAGGGTTTCAGACATCCATCCGTGTAACGAGACTCAGAGAGTGTCCTTCTGGTTTGTGGTGACGAGGCCGAACACCATGGATCTCGTTGATAAAGGAACTGTGGAGATGGCTATAAAGTAATCACATGCTACAGTTTTAGTTATTGGTACTATTATTGTTATATTTTCTTCTTAGCTGGATGTAAATAATGGATGTTAAAGTATTTTTTTAAACATTTATTACCCATTTTATCATTTCCTAGAAAATTCTAAAATGACTAATAACTAATGGGTTTTCCAAATAAATATGAATGGGGGCGTAATTATGTTCCCAATGAATGTTTGGCTCACATATGGTGCGAAAGTGCAGCTTTCTAGATTATGTAGCGCAGGAACAGGTGTGTCGTGACATTTTTTACATTTTGCTTTAAAATTATTTTGCTGTGTCATGGCTTTTGGTTACTCTCTCACACAAGATTTGCCATTGCCAGAGGTTTGTTTTCTTTTGAACAAGGCTTCAAAGCTCCAACCTAAACCATAAACCACAAACCTGATCACTAACCTTAACACTTCAAACACTTTGCTTTCAAACACCATCTATTTTATGTATGCATGCATGAGCAGGTTTACCCTGGGTTATGCAGTGTGGCCATAGAAACTAAGTCGATCCCTTTTATTTTTATGAAGTAACAGGTTATTTTTGTACTTAAGTGAACATAATTTCCCTCATGTGGGTAATGAGCATTCTCATTTAAACATTTTCATCCGTCCATCACACTTTTCTGGTCACCAGTCTATTACAGGGGAAACAGAGAGAGACGGCTGTTCATGCTCAACCTGCCTCAACCAGCCATTAACATCCACTATTTTAATGGATCACAATAACTGATACAGAAAGCAGTAGAATTTATTTAAAAAGCGAACAAAATTTTTTAGTACTTCATAAATGTTTGGTCAACTAGCATGTTTATTTCCAGCTGGCATCTTATCTTTGGAGGTTTTCCAGGCTCATATCTAGGAGGAGACTCACAGGCAGACTTTGGAATCACAGATTTCCCAAGATTCTGGCACAAATTCACCAGCTTGTAGAATTTATGTGGGAGGTCAGGGTATTTTGAAGCTTTTTTTCCTGTACAGGAACGATAAGGTCAGCTAATTTAAAAAAAAAAAGTTTTAAAATTGTAGTTTGAATTCAAACTACAGCCAATGTTTTTATACAGTTTAATACCTGTAAGAATGCATTGATTACTATTTCTGATCCTCGGCAGCCTTGGCCCACTTCAGTAGCTTCTGTGTTCAGCTTGTACAGCAGGTCCTGCAGAGGAACTGGCCAACTGCAAACTAACTTAATGGGTTCGCAGTGTGTATACCACTCACTGTTGAGGCACTGCTGTGTTAACTTGGCATACTTTCACCACCTCCTCTTGTCTGCCTCCTTAATGCATTCGTTTCAGGGGATGCTAAGTTCTAAGACGACAAACTGGTTTCAAAGCTTCCAAAAAACAGTTCCAGCCCCAGGTCAACCTAAAAGTTAAAAACAGTTTTATCACTCATGATAAAAAATGCTTTTGTGTGTGACTCATCAGTTTTAAGAAGTACTTAGAGATCCCCTGGAGGATGTACTGTACTGAGAAATGACCCTGACCGGAGGAAAGAGTTTAAAATCGGCTACATTTAAGCATTACTGAAACACTGTTGCATGAACACGTGGAGCAAAAGTGTGACTTTAACGTCCGCATACTTGTGTTTTTGACACAAAGTTGCAAATCTTTAAGTATTTGGCCAATGAAACACTTTGTGATTTTTGTCTCTGCGCACCACTACAGTGGATTTTATCTGGATATGAATAAAATGCAGCTTTAATTAAAGCTGCATTAACCTCAATTGCAGCCACTTTTATGTATTTTCAGAGAAATTGGACAACTGACTGTCAAGTAGTTGAGAAATAACTTGCATTTTGTGGCCTTAATGCTCAACATGACGTCCAAAGAACAAGTGAAAGAGGCCATCGTTAGGCTTGGAAAATCTAAATAAATCCATCAGGGAGATAGGAAAAAAACTTCAGGAGTTTTTTAAAAAAAAAAAATGAATGCACAGACCAGCTCAGCAACACTAAAAGACCCTAAAGACCACAGAAGATAACTGATGAAGTGCATGATAACAGAATTGTTTCTAAAGTTAAGAAAATGTTTGGACAACCAGAACGATGGGAAGAGAAAAGTATTTCTAGATCTACTGGATTTAATCAACTTAGGTGGTGTAAAGAGGCAAAACTGTAAAAACTGTGTTGCTGTCCAGAGTCAGTGCAGTTTGGCCTTTTCCAGAATAATCCCCTTAAATGAAATCTTTTCTTTTGTCCAATAGAAAATCGAGAAATCGAATCAACGGTGCTTTTCTGCTAACAGATAAAACTCTGGAGTTCGATGGCATCTATCCCACTCTGGCAGCACCGGTCTCCCCTGACACCCCTCCGTGGCTCATTGTCTTCGGGGTGGTCATGGGTGCAGTTAGCGTCGGCATCATCGCCCTGCTTGTCTATCCTCTGGTCCAAAGAAAACTGTGAGCAGATGACTGTGGATGTATTTAATTTAGCTTTTTGAAAATATGATAACTGAGCTTCATTTGATCTGCTCATTCTTTTTGTAGGAAGAAAAACATGGATGCAGATGACGAGGACAGCGACGAAGAGACAGGGGTGAAAACGGCTGAAAACGGTGCAAATGACGGTATTTATAACTCGACGTTCTCGGACGATGAGCGATTCACGCAGATGTAAAGTGCTCTTATAAAAAAACTGCCGTGCCACAGTGTGAAAAATAATGTGATTTTCTTTAAAGTTTCTAATGTAATTCATTTCAGTTTTGACATGTTAATTTGCTCGGCCTTTCAATACAATAATCACAGGCTGCCTTAAACAAATCCAGTGTTTCACACTATTTAACTGCCGTTTTACAAATAAATGTGTTTTTTCCCCTCAACCAAAGTGTTGAAGGATGATTTATCAAAGATCTCTGTATGACAGGTTGTGTTAAGATATTTTGCCAAAGTGGGGTCTATATACTAACCATTTACAACCAGTCAAATGGTCCCATTTATGAAGAAGGCTCATTCCTACCTTTGTAAGTCTAGGAGGCCTGGCTTTATGATTACCTTTGAAGGAATTCAATAAAATCCTCTGTTAAACCACTCATGGTTCCTTATCTGCATTCTGTGTTGGTACAAAGTTTCAAGATTATGTGTGAACAGGTGTTTAAACTGCAATGTTTGACTTGATGTATTCTGCCTCCCTGCAGGGCATTTCCCTCAAATGATTTAACACCGGTGACCTTTCACAGGGAGTAAACTGTTACCAGTAATTCTGGTAAAGAGTCTGGTCATATTACTGGTATTTCCGAGTAACATAAAAGACATTATTAAAGACGATGTGACACTCTATAGATTTTTCTTCAGTTCTGTAAAGATGTTGAATATCCCACCCCTCTCACCAAAGAGCCAATCAACAGCTAAACCTAGAAACATACGAGCCAATCACGATGCAGCATTGACTCAGTAGCGCTTGACAGCTCTGTGCTGGCAGGTAAATCCACTTGTTAATGAAATTGTAGCTTGTATGCAGCTGCATTCGTTCGGTGCTCTCATGGGATCAGCAGAGATGATGAATTTGTTGGCACTTACCGGATTAAGACTAATAAAGTCTTAATGCTGATGGTGGAAAAAGAGCTTTATAGCTTATCTGGTGCAAATTCACCAAACATTTGAACATTTTTAAAAATCACATTTGATATTTGGTTTCATAAATGCAGTTTTGATGCCACAGTGGTAACATTTATGGATGTCTATCTTTAGAGAGGGGCAATAACACCACTAAATAGGCACTTCTAAGTTAACATGTGGTAAAAAGTAAATGACCTGGTTCTTATATAGAGCTGTTCTACTCTGCTTGAGCACTCAAAGCACTTTGTTCAACTTGCCTCATTCATCCATTCACAAAAACACTTTTTTTCATGCCTAAGTGGTTTCTATCTAATATTCACACTCAAATGAACTCTTTGAGAGCAACTTGGTGTTCAGTAACTTGCCCAAGGAGACTTAGTGACTAACTCAGAAATAATTCCAGTTGATGGTATTCTAATTTACAGAATAATTACAGCTTATTAAACATTCATATGGCTCTAAGGGTTGTGGTAACTTTTCCAAATCTGTTTTTGACTTTGAATAAAATTATACAGATAAATAATCTGACTAAACGGAAGATATTTCTATTTATATGTATGCAGGCTGACTTTCTAGAAACTTAAGTTAACTTTCCAGACACACTGGACCCATTTGTTAATCAATAATGTGACCAAAGGGATGTTTGCAGATTTTTTTTTAGGAGGACCCATAGCAGCAATGCTGTGGCCATTGTTCTGGAGGAAACATGCTATATGCTATATGTAAAAGGGCAAACTGTTTTTTAAAAAAAAAGCAAATACAGAACTTTATATGCAGCCATGACAGTGATGAAAATTTCTGATTCCTCATTTTATTGACCTGGCCTTTTCACTTTCTCTGTTTGGTATTCTTACTCTTAAAATCCATGTCAAGCTATGCACTAAGGTTATAGGTGCCATCCTTAAAACACAAAAGGTTTTCTCTTTGTTTTTGACCCTTAGCATCCCTCATATATTGAGTTCCAGATGGTTCCACCGGGGTAAAGGATTACTCTTCCTAAAAATAAAAAAAAAGCTTTTTGTAAAAATTGTTTTTTTCCCCATGATTCAAGGGAACAGTTTTTAGGGTGTTTACAAGCATTAAGGTTTTTCTGTGCTAAAAGGTCACCGCGTGAGCCATTATGAGAACAGTTTGAGTGGTTTGAGTTTGATGGGCGCTGTATTTATTCAAACTGGTTTGCACAGATGAGCAGCTATATCATACTTAACACAGAGGACGGAGGCTCAGGCAACACGGCCATCGTAAGAGACCACATCTCGAGAAATGTTCTGGAGATATCCCTCCCAAGGCAATACTTAAAACCAGACTTGGAAAATGGACATAACCAATAACCCGAGGGACCTGAATGAAATAATCAGAAGATGCCCTGCAACCTCAAAACATTAAATAAACAAACAAACCAGAAAACTAGCCACATTTCACTGGTTTCTCCAGTATCAGCTAAGAGATGGCTTTTTAGTCCCCCCCCAAAAAAATCATAGAAGAAATAATCACATCGACCTAAATTTACAGTTTTCAATCAGAATTTAACGCAACTACAAGGAAAGTGGCGCCATCTCGCGGTGCCATTTAGCAATTGCAGCATACAAGGTATTTATGAATTTTCAATGAAGCATAAGTTACCGACACATACTTTTATCCGGGCCTAGTTGCTATGGTAAAATTAACCTTTATGACCTGAAGTATGACATAGTTACCTTTCTTTTTTTTAATAAGCTTTTCTATTTTATTAGAAAATATAATCTAAGTGTGGGAGGATGAAAAATTAAACAGCTTTAAGTCTCTTTCGTTTCTTATCCCCTTGCTGAATAATTTTCACACTGCCCGATTTGTATCTAGTTGAAGTGTGTTTTGAATTTTATGAATTTTTAGCTATAAAAAACAAGAGAACTGTCATTTTCTTCTTCTTAATTATCAGTAACTATTTCCTTTGTAATTTTCCAGCTGCAGTCCTTATGTTTTAACTTCAGGTGGCACCATTGTACTGTCAGATATTGTTTCCTGGCCCAACGCTGGGGTCTTATTCTTCACAGCACTTTTCTCAGCATCCCTTAAAGTGTGCATAAATGTACCTTTAAAGCATTTGAATTTCAAACATATTTTAATTTACTGTTATTTTATTTTTGTCTGACTACTTTTGAAGTGATAGCACAGCTCGACTTTCTCATTCTAACTTGTGTCTATATTTAGTTGATTATTAGATTCAGTGCGTTCTTGTGATCTGGGAGGAAACGTGTCATTGCTACAGCAATATCTGGCAGTACCATGCCAGACGATGCGCAGCATCCTGATAATATGCTGTGTGGTGATGGCGATTTATCATCTAGCCCGTTCCTTTTATTCTGCATTTCATTGTCTTGCCTCTTTTTTTTTTCCTTGTCAGAAAGCCAAAGGTTTTCTGTCAAATTTAATTCGAGAAGCAATCCAATCTTATTAAAACTGAGGCTGATTAAGACCTAAATTCCCACTACAGAGGAAGCCAGGACAGGGGAAAAACTGAAGAAAGTAAAAATTGCTTTACGATGTTATAGAAAATAATGTTATTTTAATAACTCATTCTGATACCCCCTGAATAATAAATTAGGTTTGAAATAGCTATAGAAATGAGTCATTGTCAGAATGACAAACTGCCTGAATAACATTACCAAATCTCAAAGTAAATGATTATTTTTCTGTTGCCTGTGTTCTGGGCTCATCACAAGAACAATGGCTGTGTGTACTGTGTCGCATAATGGCTTTTGCCTAATTTTGTCTCTTTAAAAGGTGGGAGATAAATAAGCCTCTGGAGATAATTCTAGACGGCCAAACACAATGGTGAATTATAAATAATCTTGCGTGGGAGAAATTACGGGGAATTGTATAGTGTAAGCTCGTGTCTGCAACAGTTTAACTGAAAATCAGTCCTTTGCATTTCGCGTGTGGCAATTCCAGTAAATATCCAGCAATAATCACTGAAGTCGGGGTTGATGTTTATCTACATATGAACATTTTTTTACTGTACTTTCACAACAACACACAAGTCTGACAGTGACAGTCTAATTATTTCTAATTGTGAGCAAATTGCATAGTGAGCAGGTTTTACTATAATGGTGACTACTTGCAGGAGTCTCTCTGCAGAGCTACATGATACAACTCGACTCATTGGAGAGGCTCTGTAAACATGCGGCAGTGTGTGTCACGGCATGTTTAAAATTCTCGTGTTTTAAAATTCTCCAATTCCAACCAAATGCTTATAAATTTCAGGGATTATCTAGAGCGTGTGCCCCTATTAAACGATCAATATTAAATGTCACAATTCTAGTCAATATTTGATGAGGCCTATTTTCTAACAATGCAGCTTTCAGGGCTTAGAATCAATATTTTACATAAAAGTAAATTTTTCATAATGTTAGCTTTGAAAGCCCAAGTGCATTATTAATATCAGTTACAAGAGAAGTGTGAAAAGTGACAGGTTCCATATGCATTTGATAAAATTCAGTGGAGGTGAAAACTATATGCTGTGCACTGATTGCGCCACAAATCTTCACTGTACTGTCAGCCTCCTGGATCCCTCCTGGCAGGGGGCAAACAACAAGACGATCTCTGTCAGAGGCTGTGTATTTTGCCACCCCTGCTGTGTTTAAAATCCATCACTGCCAACATAGTTCTCCTCTCTGAAACTTTTCTTTTATTGGAGTCTAGAAATCCCATCTCTGTAGTTTAGCTCCTTTGTCCTCACTTTGTTTATGAGTCTCACTGAGAGTGGTCTCTGCTGTCTTGCCTTGCTCTGGCGCTGGCGTTTCTCCTTCTCCTTCCTTTTCCCTCTTCCTCTCTCGGATAATCTCCACCAGCCTCTGAAACTTCTGGTTTAGCTCCTCTATCCCTCCCACCACACTCCCCTCATCCTTTTCTCCATCGCTCTCCAGCGAACTCAGCGACTCGGCCCTTGAATCACGGCCCTCAAACTCGTAAGTCTGCAGTGAGTCATATGGTGGCTGTGACAGGTCAAAGGTGACCTGGTCCAGACGAATATTCAAGAGCTCCTCCATCCTGAGAGGCTGCGGGTTGGTCGTTTCTGTTCTCGCCGGCTCCGCCCCACTTGCCCAGCCTCTGCTGTTGCCAAACATCCCCTCAGGTAAGGGCAAAGACTGTGGGGTCAAATCCTTTCCCTGGAGTCCACACATGTTCAGTAGCTGCACTCCCGCTGGGTACAGCCCGCTGCTGTTAGTCCCATTCATACACGTCCCTCGGCTGTTTGGGTTCAGCGAGCCCACAATGCTGTATG